TAAGATAATCTTTACAAACCGATTTTCCGGGATTATACACGTCGCAAGTTTGAGTGTATACACGAGATGATCCAGTTCGACAAGAACGTTTGCAACTGGAGGGAAGGTGATCCAGACAGTACGCCTGTTCTGAACGAATTAATCTGTACTCGTGTTGCTGTAACACGCCACAACCAACGCGGCTTAAATGAAGTAAAATTCATGGCTTTTCCAGCCGTCTGGTCAGATATATGCTGGTCTGTTTGGAAATGGCTCGCACCTCTGCTCTACCAGACCATCGTGAACTTAGCTTATCACGATGAGTTTTGGTGGAATTAGCGGCATGCAATCACATCTAACATTGTACCCGACATTGGCTCGCTTTTGCAGCATTTTTGTTCATATTTCTTACTTTCATCTATGTTTGATTTGATTGCAGGCCGACACCATTCGGTAACTTTTTAGGTCGTGACGTTTAGACACGAAAATATATTTTTAGTGTTTTCTCGCCACTGAGTAACAGTTTGAAGTCCCTGTATTTTAGCAACTTATGAAATAATTGTCCATTTAATATGATATTGGAAGGCATTGAGCGATCCGTTTTGATTGGTTGCGTCTTATGCAGCCTACTTATGCATTAGAAGGTGCGCAACTGGTGCCTTTTTCTCCCCGGATCTGTGTGAATCTTCCGACGAGATAGAATTAGCCCCACCGAGGATTTCATGATATGACTTCAAGCTGTAATTACCTCCGCCGACGGAACTGGTGGGCAATTACATAAGTTGGCTGAAGTCATCGCTTTACGACTTCGCTATTGTTAGGCTTATCTTTGTAATGACAAAACAGATCACGACAGGTCCTCACGAATCACCTCTCAAAGCTACCGTAAAACTTTTGCATAATCTTGCTGCCACTTGTTAGAGAGCTCTTCTATTATCGGATGGCTAAGCTCTTCTACACATTGCCGCATATGAAAACGTCACGATTTTGACAAAAAAGCCACTGACACTCTTCCTCACACAAGCATTGTGACAGGGGCAATCTTCCACGTAATCATAAAAAATATCGTAAATTCTTGTTAATCGCAAATAATCGTAAATTACACGCCTCCAGCTTAGCAGAATCGTTTTTATCTCACATTCCAAGCCCGTCATTTGACAGACCTCTGTGGTACACACTCTATAAACAGCACAGGTAAGTCGAGAAATCCAGTTAAGAAAAATTATTCCGTTCGACATTCAGAACAATGGCGAGCAAATAGTTAATCACAATGAGCAAATATGCAGCCGTGCGTTCTCAGTGACGTATCTGCTTCTGGCTAAGTCATCACAAGATAAACTGCAGGCAACGCGTAACTCCAGGTAGAAAAATCATCATGTCAGAACCATTATATGATATAAAGCGATTGCGTACACGCACATGTCTTTGAAATTTAAACCGTGAGACAGGGAACCCTGGCCTGTAAAGGCGTTAGTCCACCGAAAACCGTTATTTTTCAGTCACTCACTTTAAAAAAACTGCGCTGTCTTCTCCCGATTTATTCGATAGGCTTCTACTAGGGCTTGCTTTTTACACCGCAATCATTCCGCGGAGTTTTAATATCAACACGGACCTTGTAGAAGGCGAGTGCCACGGTTAGAAGTGCCGCGCCATCATGGCACTTTCAACTGTCGCAACGCTTTAACATACGGCGGCGCGGCTAAAGACAAATTGTAGTAGTGATTAGAGTACAGTTGTAGGAGCTTTTTTGTTCTTTCATGCCTTTAAACAAAAATGCACTTCATAATTTTTTGGCAAGTGCAATTCCTCTCAATGACTTTGTAGGTGCAAAGAAAAACACATGCAAACACACGCGGAAATTTGGTGGACACAATGCATTTCTGCCGACGCCAAACCATTGAGTCCCCAAGGGTTTGTCTTTTTCGAGGTTACACATCTCGAGAAGTTTTACTTCTTGCCCATGCGCACTTCCTAGGACATGGTTTCCATCCCCACACAAATGTTCATGAGTTTACGACACGCACTAAGGGAGGAATAAGCATCAGTCCTGCCTTTTACCGCAGTGCCGTGCTAACGTTGCGCCCTGTCCTGCCTGTGACCCTGAAATCACCTCCGTCTACTGGCTACAGCAACGGCGGGGTTGGGACGATCCCAGCTGGGTCAGCCGGTAAGGGTACTCCTCGCTGACGACTAGAGCAGGGCCCGTGAGTGAGGCCGCTTCTGGATGCGTCGTGTACAATACTACATGCACGTGTCGGTGCGGTGTATGCGTGCTTAAGGGGAATGCAATCTAGTTTCCGTGATGACGCCATCACTCGCTGCAACGCTTCAGACCGGTCTCGAAGACCGGAGGCCAGTTTGCACCCCGCTGGCAGTGGGCGTGGAGCTGAGCGACGGGGTGAATGGTACTACATGCTGTTCTCGCGCCATTATCTTCCATATTACATGCCCTAGTTGCGATTAGAGCATGAAACCGTACTTGATACTCTACTCGCGCCACGTTCGTGCCATCGCACCATACTGGCCGTCCAGTTACCGACTGCACGGTGTGCAGGAATGGCACAGAAGAGTTCATTCATGATTTATTTACGATGCCAAAAATTGGTGCCGTTTCGGACGGGGTTACTTCGATAACGCGTACGCTTGTATGCAATGCGTACGACTTAGAGTTGGTGGTGTGTGTGCGTTCGTGACCATGCCCCCGCCGTCACAGGACCTTGTGAGACGCTCGATGAAGTCAAGTTCGTCAAAATGTGACCAATTAGCCCGTCTAAAAACCGATGCCTCCGCTTCCCACCGAGCATCGCTCATCTCAGACGTCACATATTTGCTGTTGTACGCAAACCGGCCGTCAGTTGCCAACACATCTCATCAAAATAGCCTACGCACACATGTGCTCAGAGCTGAGAACAGGTTCGGCCATGGACGTGCATGCCTTGTTTCAGTCCTCGAGCCCGAGGAGGATCATGTCTAATGCCTCCTCCAATTATGATATGAAATAGTTATGTTTTACCTCGCCCCTAGCGGATTTGCACGCCCATCCTTGCTCACATCACACAAAACGCTGAAATACCTACATGGGTTTTGCCTCGGTTTTGTGTTTGTGACATGCGTTTGTGAATGGGACGGAAGTATTTAGGGTTCATCCCATCATTAGTGGCATACATATGGCCTCTTGATGCTTTTTTTGGGGGGGGGGGCTTTTCGACGGTTTGACCTTTTGATGTTTTTGACGGCAGTTGGAGCCAGTCTATGGCAGAAAAAGCCTTTCCAAACAAGAGGACTTTTCTCCTGACACACAAAAACCATCCGACGTCATGGAAACCCCTGTCAGGTCATCACACCGCTGGGGGGCCCGGACTTCACTTGGTGCAAAAGCCTTTTGAGAAGCGTTCACCGAGAGGATTCACAATTTGTTAATGAGCATTGCTCATTACGGTCCATCATGATAGACCGTTCTCCCGAGTACGCGCGTGGTTCATGCTCTGGTCTCACGAACGACGCGTGTGGAAATCGCGCAACACCAGTACTCCGCCGTTGCCTCGGAAAGCAAGACAAGTCTCCCAGGCCGATCCTGTCCGCCCGGCCCGCTTCCGCGCCGTAGAATAGAACAGTTGGACTAGCTTGTGCACGGAGAGACGATAGCAGATATTACTTCGTCAGATTGTACGGCCTCTGTTCGCAAGCATGCTGATTCGGGCCGCCGGATCGGGTGAACCGTGCGAAGGGCTGTTAACGTTCCACATCAACAGCTACTATTTATCAGAGCAACCATAATGCCTCGCCATTGCTCGCTTCTAAGGCAAAAACCTGCGCCGTTTGTGCGCTTAATCAATGCACGGACGTGACGACATTCGAAATTGGTTTTCATAAATTGTCAAGTAAATTGCATATTATGTTTCCAAGCCGTGATAATGAGCTACACTTAGGGCAGCAGTGGTTAATGTTACGAGCATGAGATATGCTTCAGTGAGTGGTTAATGCACGCCTTGCATACCATTCACAACGTGAACCGTAACGTAGGCTGCTAGTTAGCATCGTCAATCGCCAATTATACCCGCACTGATGCGTCTTATCATCAGGAATTTAGACGGGCTGTTTGAATTCACCAGCCTTCCAACCGCGCGAGAGGCTGCGGCGCAACTCAAATGAAAGTATCCATGTGGTTAACAAGGCATCAACTCCGTGGCGGTAGGTTTAGCATGGGCACATGCGATATGAGCGACAGCTATTGTTTCTGAAGCATTGGATTGACTGGCCCCAAATGCTGATCTTCCCTTTGCTGCTAGTTGCTATGCACCAATGCGCCTACGGTAGTCCAGTTAATCAGTAGTGTTACATAAATTGCATACGCTGATAATGGCCGCTCCCAAAATGTAGCTACATGGTGCGGGCAATCACCAGCCATTTGTTTGTTTCTTTCCACTTGAGATCTTCGTAGGCACACATCGCTTTGAAGCAAAGGCAATGAGACAGCAGCTACCAATTGTTCGCTCATACACACGTGCTTCTTAGCAAGCTGCCAGGGCTAATGAGTCACCAATTACGTAGCTGGAGCGGTGTGCGGCGTTTTGAGGTCGATTGCCAATAGCAACCGTCTGCATTAATAATTAAGCGTGAGTGGTCGACCTCACACTCTTGATTCGAGCTCACAAGGGCAGTTACATTAACGGGACTGTAGCGCTGTTCAAAAAGCAGAACTTAAAATAGGTTGCTTAGCAACTGTTTGGTTTGTTTGTTTCGGCAGTGCCTTAATCAACCACCCGCCTAACATGGCGAAAACAATGCACGAAAAAACAGAAGAGCTCCACTTTCTGGTCCACTGGAGATAAAGCTTACAAGTATTTCAGACAATCCCATCGGAAAATTACAGCACGCTGCGAAGAGCCGTAAATCTCGAGCGCGTCCGGCACCGCCCATAGTTCAGCGCCTCGTCCATAGATGGCGCCAGCGGTCCGGTTAGACTCCGCCCGCGGGCCGGTCGGCCGCGCGGCGACGATGGTAGTCGGCTGTTCGCCCCGGCAGCGGTTGGCGGTTGCCCGGGCGGTTTTTCTGCACTCGGTGTGAGGCGGCTGCGCGGGTCGGCGGCGATTTTGCAGTGCACAGGTGTGATTCGGTCTCTTCTCAATGTCGACAAGGCGGTGGTGCCTGCGGTCCCGACGGAAATAAAACCCGCCGCCCAGCCAGGTATTTACAACAGGTCACTCAATTTTTAACTCACACATTTATTTTCATCCCATGTAACGTGCCCATGCCCGGTGCCTGACGGCGCCCTCAACCCGGCAGTGCGGTGCGGTGATCCCGGGCCTGAGCGGGGGACGCCCCGCCAGCCGCGCGCGCCGGCCGCCCCGGCCCGGTTTTGCCGAGCGGCCGCTCCGCCGCCGGCTCAGCGGTCACGCACGTGCCCCTGCGTTGCAGCGCCGCCCAGCTGCGCCGCGTGCCGACGCCGCGCGACTGTCCGCCGCGACCCAGCGCTGCGACCGGGCCGGATCGGGCCGGAGCATGGCTAGTGAGTCGGCGGGCCTGCAGGCGGCCGTCGGCGAGGGCTCGCAGCCGCTGCCGGCGCACCGCGCCTGGTACGAGGCTCAGCGCTCGATGGACGCCGGCGGCGCCATCCCGCCCGAGGACATGGAGATGTTCTTCCCGTCGATCGACGGCTCGACCGGCCGCGGCCGATACTACGGCGCGTCGCACTCGGCGGCGGCGTACCCGGCGCACACGGCCGACTGGACCAGTGAGTACCGCCGGCGCCCGGCCCGAGGCCCGCCGGCAATGTCGCGCCACCGCCGCTGGAGTGCGAGGCTGGCCTGGTTTTCCGAGGAGCGCCTTTCCCTCCCCCTGGTGCGGGAGTGTGGTCCCGCCGGTTGTCGGACCAGAGGTCAGGTCAGGGGGCTCGGTCCGGGTGCGAGGAATGTTCTGATTGTCCTGGGGGAGGCCTGATCGTGCAGGGGATGGGCGTGGGATGCGGGTGTGCCGTGCTGAGATGGTGTCGCTATTGTTACGGCACCGTGCAAGAGGCACTGTGTGGTGTACTGAAATAACGGGCTCGCGTCACCAATTGTTTACTAGAAAGTATTATTTTCTGGTAGAACTTGGCTATACAGAAGCTCAGAGTGAATTTGGATGAGCTCAGTTTCACAGAGGCGCCTGGCTATTAAGCTTAGAGTGAAGTTTCAACCCAACGCAAACAAGTCGCGTGGCGTATCCGCACGCTGAGCCTCGCATGTTTCTAGAACTACCATATCCGACATGAATTACTATCCGCTTGCACTCAGGAACAAGCACGCTCTTCACGCGGGTTTTTCGTCACGCGGTTTGGTGATTCCTACAATGCGAATCGCCTGTTACACTGCCGTCCACCTTGTTATACTTCTGGCGTCACTGGTCAGCTCGGATGACAGCGCGGCTGGCGCTGTAGATAAATCACCCGAGGCCTATTCATATCACATCACACTGGCGCTGCAAACCGCCAGCCTCAGCGACGGTGTCGTCAGCGCCGAACCCTTACGAATGCATTCATACGTCCAAATTCTTCAGCAAACTCGCCATCGCTGACGCCGCATGCGACGCACAAATGATGAAGTCCAATGTGTCCAGGGGCACACAACCCTCACTCTATGCATGGAGCATGCTGCCTAAACTGAGGCGATTCCAAGCTGAGCTGATCGAAGAGGTTTTTGGCAGTTTTGAATCAGGCATAATTAAGTGAGCTTAGATTATACCAGAGGGGACGCATCAACGCTGCCATAGTTTCGCCATTCACCGACGAAACTCGGACGACATCAGCGGGTGTCATGAGCGAATAAGCTGGGAAAAACAACTCTCTGCTTACCTGTGTTTACACTGGTCGTTTGTTTATCGGGCTTGATGTTTGTCGGGGACTCTTTGTGGCATTAAGACGCATTAGCATAAGTGGGAATACAAAGCTCTTCTTCGCCCTTCGCGGTCGTTGATGTCGATTGTTCGCCGTTCTTTGGATAGTACACCAAATGGCACATACTGTACATGTAGGACTATTTGATGTCGGGGCGCATCAACTGCGTGGCTGTTTCGCGGGGTAGGCTTGCAAAGAAATATGAATGCAATACGGATCATCACTCAACTCATGACACCTTAAATAACTCAATAATTTATAGGCTTTGCACCGTCTTAATGCATGGGAAATCCCTGCTGGAAGATCTCCAAACGTTTTGTTTGATATTTTGCTTGTGACGTGTTGCGCTAGTAATAGTTGCACAAACGTATGTGACGTGTGTACTGCGCCACACCTATAGTTGGAGCTACGTAAAAGGATTTGAGAGAGGCAAAGTCCGGATTCTCTATAACGTTTTTATATTTCTGCTGTTATTTTGGAGTGTGTTGCAAAATTTTGGTTATGTTGGTCGAAAATTGAGAGGCCCACACGACATTGTGGTGGGGAAAGGCGCGTGGAGTAGTCCCCTTCCAAAGAGGCACGAAGCGCCACCCAAGGCCGCATCTTCGCTCGATCTCAGCACGCTGCTAATTTTGTGGTTCATTCTTAAGAAGAGAAGCATTTGTGAGATGAGATGACATCAGGTTGATGCAATTTGAGCCTTGGTGAGGGATTTAATGTGAATTAAACATGGGTCGGACAAGACATTGACTGAGCGCTGCTGAGCTCTGCGGCGAGATGTCATGCAGGACTGACCCAGAAGGTTGAACAGCGTAATCCATCAACAGCGATAGGATGTTCACTCATCATTATGTCTGCCGCCATCGTCGGCAATTTGGCATCCTATCGTTGGCAGAATATAACACTTCTGACCATTGTGCTTGACGGCATTGGGCTTACAGATGTTTCTAACCATTTAATGCTTGGGTACTTATCCACCCTTACCTTGGCTACTCACTATGTTCAGTGCCGTTTTCACCGTTTGGGTAGAGCAGAAGGACATTTTCAACATAGGCGCCAAATGTCATTATTCTCACTTCCATGATTGCCATGAAATGTTTTGTGATTAATGCTGGGTATGGTATAGACCTATCCTCGCACACGTCCTCTGCGCACGTGCCTTTTCAAAAGATATTCCTTCGACACATGTTCACTGCAGCACGACCTCACGGGCCCAGAGCACAACTGAGGTATTTTATTATCTAGTTTATGTATTTTAAACGTTTGCCTTTCACTGTAACCGAGACGTCCGAGAAGAAGAATGGCTAAAATTATTTCCTGTCAAAGATTCATTTCACCGTTTTCGTGGCAGTGATCGGCCTTACGTTGAATAGAAGAATGCTCTTAAGTGACGACTTTTCCTTTTACAAAGCTGACACGTGCATGTTTTATACGCGCAGGCATGTCGTACAACTTGGGGTTGAAAACAATTGGTCATGTATATTGGTTACCACTGGCGGCGTGCGGTAACGCTGTCCCAGTTACGTTACGCGTCAAACTATTTTTTGTGATGATTACATTTGTCATTATTTTAGATGATACTGCCATCGTTTATCAGCCGATTGCAGTTAATTCTCACATTTTATCCACGATATCATCCTGCAGAATTTGAAAACCTTATTGTTCCATTCCAGAACACATACAAAATCCTCGACCCAGAAATAGTACCGTGTTCAGCTGCGCTCCAGAAAATATGTACATGAGGTGGTTATACATAAACATTTATTAGTTATATTACGTGAGTTGTTCAGTGCAGCTGCGAGGAACATCGCACAAGCATGAGAGCAGTTCTGATGTCCTTATTTATTACTGAGCAAATAGGCCAGCCTCAATAGGAAGAGACATGGTCTCCGTCCTTTGTCGCTCTCTTTTTCCTCCTAGTTACTCAACGAGGAATTAGGTCATCAGTGCTGTTTATAGTAGTCAAACGATTATTTTAGATGCACTTCTCTGTGATGAACCTGACTGACGTAATAGTGAAATAGCCCACTTTTTCGGCAATGCTTTCGCCGGCATTCATGAGTCATGTGAATGGTCATTGCCTACCCACTTCATGAACGTTCAACATTAACCTGATATTGACGCATGAAAGACGCCAATTCTCGAGTGTTAATGGCCCACCCACTTTGAGATAAAATCATGGATCCCTCCCATGGACTCCCTCCCGCGTTCAAGTGCGACTACTTGCCTATGAATGCTGAACATTTGATTGGGTGGGGAAATGATTCTAAGGCCATGCTGACACTTTTCACATTACGTCGTCGAATACTTTGCTACCGCCATGACCATTCTCAAAAGCATGATACCTCGATTAACGTTTAAGTATTTTGATGGTGTGCGTTTTGTCTCCTGTGACTCGGATTCTCGGGACGGTCATAATCTTATACCGATGTCCTAATGTACGCACAGTGTGCCGAAACGTCACTAAACCGTGCCATCAGAATTCAATTCTCTGAGGAATTAGAAATCATTACATTTCAGCCCGTAACCCGTCATTAGTTGATCTCGAAGCTCTTTCCGTCGAAGGACATCAACGTCAAGCATAATAAACCTGAATCGAGTATAATGCATCGGGTTTATTCTTTCAGACTTCATTGAGTCGGGGTTTGTGTATTAACGGTCTCTGTATAAACCGAATGATGATATAACATATCCGTTCTTATCATGTAACCGCTCTTATGACAATTCCTGTATTACCTTTAAATAGGATCCGTTGGTGTTAATTAAGTCATCCTCAATGGGTTTGAGCGGGGGCAGACACGAGAGTCCACACCTCCAGCAGTTGACATCAGCTGGTTTCCACAGCCACGTAGTTGGCCCCGTTCCCAGTCATTCATGGTGTGGTGAGCTCTTCTAGACCTCTGTCCCTTTGGGTTAGCCCACCACCGTTTGAGCAATGCGTGGATTGAATGCTGTTAGTCTGGGAACCAATTTGGACCGGATAACATTAGGCCGGATCGCCATGTGACCAACACACATTATTGAAGGTTCCGCATAGCCCGCTTTTCCGCTAGGCAGCAATCAATAACGGTTAGCTTGCAACAAACCAAAACTAAGTGGCAAAAACATAGATGTACCTAAAGGAAAGAAAATCGCGAAGACTTCATGCAGACCGTCCTGATTTCATACAGATACGGTTGATATTTGAACAGCTCAACTATCACACCATTGATCAGTTTCTTTCAGTGATAGCTGGCGGACTCATATTTGTCATAGATTAACGACACCTAGTTGAGTGGATGGCAAAGTTAATACCTACTGCACGGTGAGACTCCTGTGACAGCGGACTCAGTTGTGCTACTCTGCACTGAAAACCGCAGGTTTGCATGCAGCTCTGAACGAGTCGTTGTGTATCGGCCATTTCGGTGCTTGTCTCAGGTCACGACCTTCACGGTCCGCCTGGCCTTCGGCTTCGCGTCACTGCGCTGATAGCAGAGCGCGGCGGCACAGTTGGCGAGGTCAGGATGTTGCCTGGCCGCCATGACGCAGTGGAAACTGGCACTGCGACCCTAACTGAGGGGATCGATAGATGTGTCATACCGTCATGGCTAACCCAGCTAACATAACCAGGGGTTGCGGTCCGTACTCATGGACGACGACGCGTGCTTTTTGAACCGAAGAACCTAAAGGGTGTTTATAAGTTTATAAAAGAACCTAACTTAAAGTGGGTGCATGAATACCCCACAACACATCCCAGCAGTCTTGGACCTGGCACACTGAGGCGCAGTCAGGTTCCTAGACGTTTTAGGCTTTGGATCGATTGAGTTCAAGGAGCATTTGTGTGCTCTTTAGTTTACAGAATGAGAACAAAATGGCAATGC